ATCCAGTCTGAGAACATTTCAGGCAGTGGCAGTGAGGATGCCTAACTCAGCACACCCCAGGTGCTGGGACTCCTTTGTTTCCAGCTGCTCTGGGGTGGGGATTCTCATGGGTCTGTCTCCCTCTCAGAGACGAGAACTGGGTGGCCTCTGGGGCAGGCAGTGCCAGTTGCCATCAAGTGTGGAGGAGGGGCGGTCAGGCAGAGGGAGCCTGTGTAAATGGGAGCACTTTTCTTAATTCCACTGCTGAGCCTTGAGGAGGTTCCTGGGGATGGTTTGGAGGGGAAGTTGTCTTGAGTGGGGAAAACCGGTCTGATAGTACCAGTAGGGAAGCTGAGGCTGGCCTGGGAAAAACAGCCTTGATGTCATCCTTGTGTGCCTGATTTGGGACTCTAGGCTCTCCTTTTCTGCCAGGTATGTGGTTCCTGGATCACATCCTTCTAGTTGGAGAAAAAGGAAAGGAAGGTCTGGCTGGAGGTGGTTGCTAATCTTAAGGGCCTCTGAAGACCTAGACAGTCTCATTCCCTGGGCACCCCCGTCTTCCCCATGACCACCCCCACTGCACCTGGTGAGGGGGAGCTGGCAGTGCGGTCAGCCCTAGATGCTGGGATGCGGGTCACCGGTGCCCCTGCAGCTCCAGAGCCGCCCCAGGAGCCCTCCTGTGGCTCTGGAAGCCCGCGCTCCCCTTCCCCCATCAGCGTGCACCTACAGTCCCGCTGCCATCGTTAGCATGCCATAGGCTCAGAAGTGGCCTGTTTTTCTATGCGCACCCTACACAGAGCGCTCAGTTCTTTGTGGCCTCTATGGGGAAAGACAACTTCTTTCAGGAACAGTCGCTTTTCCAGTAGACAGGCATCGTATCTGATACCCTGTAGCGTCCCCAAAGCCTAGGAGAGGACCTGGCACATTTTAGGTCCTCAACAAATACTTGTTCAACAAATTAAGCAGAGCAGCCAGTGGGTGAGTTACCCTTCAGGCAGGTGATGGTCCTGGGAATGGGAACGAAGGATAAGACTTTGTGGGAGCCACTTCCAGAAAATTGGTCTGGGGTCATTTGTTGAGAGGTGGGGAAGCCCAGCTGCTTAGGTCCAGGGGACATCAGATGGTTCTTAGAAGAGTCTGTCACCCTCCTCCAGGGTGCTCTTCCCTCCTCCCCTACCTGAATTCTAAACATTAGGTGTCAGTAATGCTGTTCGCATTTGTTCACGTACATTGCTTACCACATTGAGGTCTCGTACTGCCTGAACGGATCATGAGGAATTATGCATAGTCATTCATTAGATGGCTTATGTTAAATGTTATATGGAAATCAAGGCTGGTCACAAAGTGCTGTGCATATGTGTGGTCTGTATAGTGTGGAGGCCAGTAGTGCGCTCATGACTTAAAGCTATCAGGGGGAGGCTGGAAGCAGTAAGCCTGAGACTGTCCTGCAACCCTGGGCCAGCTTAGGGAAGCTGAGCCTCCCGGGCTTCTAGGGGTGCTTCCAGCAGAGGCGGGAGAAGGCAGAAGAGTGGGAGCCTGGGGTTGGGCTCTTTACAGGCAGGAGACGGAAGAGCAGCCCCCTCCTCCTGCCAAGTCAGTGTTGAAGTAACAGCTGTGAAAATGGCCCAGATGCTAGGCTGGCGGCCGCGGGTAAAGTGAGCAGGAATCTGCAAGGTCAGGGCAGGAAGCAGCCACCACAGCCCCAGGTCATGCAGCCCTGACACTTTGGCAGGTGTGAAGCAGCAGCTGGAGATGGTGCGGCCTGGCTTGGGTGCCTTCTCTGTTTTCATCAGCCTGCGAGGCACCAAGGAAGACTTAGGGCTACAGTCCACCAACTACTTTGTCTGCTTCGACACAGACCTCGACAAGGCGTAAGGCGTGTGTGCACATGGGGGAGAGGGGGTCGGCAGGGGCCCGAGGCCCACAGGGCTCTTGCTTCCTCCCTTCATGCTGGGAGAACTGTGGACTAAGACTCAGCTTCGTCCCTGGGGAGGAGGGGTGTCCTTGGGGGTGACATACACTGGGCAGTGCCAGTGGCAGTGAGCGAGGCCTGGGGATTGGCAGCCACGCTCCTCCCCTGCAGAATGGAGCACTACCTCTCGGCGCCCAGGGAAAAGGCTGCGGCACACGTGCCCATTTTCTTCATCGCTTCCTCGTCAGCCAAGGACCCCACTTGGGAGGACCGGTTCCCAGGTGGGGCTTTGGGTCCTGGGGGTGGGGGGGGGGGCTAGAACAAGGAAGGGGCCTGGGGTTAATAAGCCCGGCTCTGTGTCCCCAGACCGGTCCACGATGATCGTGCTGATGCCCACCTGCTATGACTGGTTTGAAGAATGGCGGGAGGAAGCGAAGGGACAGCGGAGCAGCGACTATGAGACCCTCAAAAACGCCTTTGTTGAAGCCTCCCTGTCAGTTGTCATGAGGCTGTTCCCACAGCTAGAGGGGAAGGTAGGATAGTAGACTGTGTGCTCGTGGCAACAAATTGGTGACAGTTCTGCTTTTTCTTTTGGGGAGGGCAGTAAAACCCGGACACAGCCAAGCTCGGGGAAGGGAAGGACCTTATTAGGCCCTGCTCCCACCTCTTGGCTGCCTTTTTTGTCTCCTCAGGTGGACAGTGTGGCTGGAGGGTCCCCACTGACCTACCAGTTCTATCTGGCTGCTCCCCGAGGTGCCTGCTACGGGGCGGACCATGACCTGGACCGCCTACATCCTCACGTGATAGCTTCCATGAGGGCCCAAACCCCCATTCCCAACCTCTACCTGACAGGTACGTGGACTGCCCCATTTTTCCAGGTCCTGAGACCCTGGATGTCCCTGTCACCCCAAGTACTCTGTTCTGTCCTTAGGTCCTACTTTCCCCTACAGCCTTCCACACGGGGATGGGCTGCCCTAGCAGGCTGTGGACCTGGGGTGGCCTAGCTGGGAGGGATGACCATGAGAGCCCTTGCTCCCCATCCCCCTTGTGGGAAGGTGCTCATGGGCCTCTGCTCTTGTCCCCTAGGCCAGGATATCTTCACCTGTGGGTTGATGGGGGCCTTGCAAGGGGCTCTGCTGTGCTGCAGTGCCGTCCTGAAGCGGAACTTGTACTTAGACCTTAAGAAGCTTCACTCAAGGATCCATGCACAGAAGCAGCATTAGTTCAGTAAGCAGTGGGTCTGAGGAGTCCCATCTGCGCTATGGCTCAGCCCTTGATTAGCCATGATGTCCTTCTGTCCTGTTCCTTCCTCACATAAAGCACTCTAATTTGTTTTGATTTCTGACTAGAGGTCTGAAACACAGGTCACAGTCCTCAGATCACAGTCCTCAAGCTGTGGCTCTTAGAGCTGGCCGATGATCAGCTCTCATACCTCTAACATGTTGTCCCTGCTGAAAGACCTGGTGTGGGTGGGCCAGTGCCTTGCAAAGCTCATCTTGTCAAGCGGTGCTTTGTATACCACACTCCCATACCTCCCAGCTCCAAGCTGTCAAGAGTCAAGTATTGTTTTGGTCAGGTGGAGAGAACCTTCAAAAGCATGGGCCAGCTGAAGCAGCTTGGGCCAGCTGTCCCGAGGCTTCTCCTCTCCCATTCTCCACGCTGTGCTGTAGGAGCTCCACACAACTGAGGGTAAAGGGTGACTGAAGAGGCTTTTATCCAAACCTGGGCATGGTTTTGGTTGTAGTTCCATAGGTTCAGAGGCCCCCAGACCCCATTTTTGTTGGTTCCAATGGCTCTTTCAGAGGGTCGAGGAAATGCCTATGATGGGCTTGGTGTGGGGGTAAAGACATTCGCCAGCAAGGTATATGTTAGCATATCCAATTCATACACAACAGGCCCTAGGTTCGTCTTACTTCCAAGGTGACACTGGGTCTTCATTGGGTCTGCACCAAGATATGTTTATGGAGCTCAGTACCTGAGCCTCAAGGTTTATGTTCCAAAAATCCACAGCAAAGGGTAACATTAGCAGTGGGGGCACAGGACTGGAAAGATGACTTCACCGGGGTTGAAGCAGGCTGAAAGAGCATTCCTGCCAAGGGTATAGCAGAGGACAGTCACAGAAGTAACTGTAAGACACATTAGCCAGCTACCTCCTAGACCCAAAATATGGGCTGCCTGGTAGGAGCAGTGTGGCTGGAAATCAGTCAGGATCAGAATGTGGAAAGCTACAGAATGTGTGCAAAGGCCTGGGATGGTGTTCCTGTTTATTGGTACACACGTGCGGATTAGGAAGGTTCACAAGGCTTTAAAAAAGAAATTACCTTTCACTTATATTAGCCTTATTTCTGTCAATGTTATTACCATTTTAATAAATGTAATGATTTTGTAGCTTTAATATTTGAAGTTTATTTTGGTTTCTGTGCAATGATACAAAGCTACATTGAAATGGCATTCAGAGGAGCTCAGTAAAACATTATGTACTAAAAATACTTATCATTAGACCAAATAAGCTTTTAAAAAAATAAAAGTAATTATATAGTTAAGTTAAAGCTGAAAATATAAAACACTGCAAAAACAGTGGCACTGTACTAATCAGGTAAACAAAAAAGGGGAACAACTTCAGTCATTTATTTAACATGAGAAAATTATGAACTAAAGGAGTATCTACGAGTGTGAGGAGGCTGGCTTTTTGGCAGCTTGAAACTACACAGCTCAGATCTAACACCGTTACAGAGGAGTTTCTCAACAGGGACATTTAGGAAAGTCACACGTTTACTTGTGGGACTAGCTGAGCTAAGATTCAGTCTTTCTCTGGATGAACAATTAAATGAAACCTGAAGGATTCTTCCTTAAGCAAGGCAGTGTCAAAGACAACCTTCCCAGCAAAAGTTTTCAGAAAACAGCTGGCAGAACTAAAGGGTCTGGTGTCTGGTGTCTAAAATACTCTCCTCCCTGTTCAAATGATTCAGAACATGTGCAAAGCATGCTAGCTTTCATCACATATACATAACAGCATTATATATCAAGTTACCCTGTAAAAACAAGGAGCAGGCTTCCTTTTTTTGATTTAAATGACACGAAGTAGAGGAAAAAAATGAGAATCACCATCAGGGGAATTAAAGAGGTTTATAATTCTATCACCAAATGTTTCATTAAAAGCCATCACGGGAAAAGAAATGTCAGCATTTATATAGCTAGTTGTCCAGTCTTTCCGAGTTGTTACAGCCTTTCTACATAGACGGGCCTTCACTCCCCACAAGTCCAGAAGTGGATTCTTTAATTCCACTCCGTAATCTGTAGCAGGAAAACAAACCCATCTATTGACATCCATGACTAAAGCATAGATTTCTCCTCACAGAAATCACCCTGCAACCAAAAGCTAGGGCAGGAAAGCAAGCACGTAGCTGTCTGGATAGGGGTGCCTCTCAAGGCTCCATGTGCCTCCCCTCCCCTCACCGGCTTGAAAGACCTGCCTTAGCCAGTTCATCCTCCTCCACATCATCCCTAGAAAAACATGCTTCCAAGAGTTCATCTTCCAAAGGACAACTCCTGAGGAAACAAGTTTTCCACCGGGGTGAGAGAGTTCCTTCAGTGTAATTTCTAAAGTGAAACAAATTCAATTGTACTCTTTTAGCACAAGAAACAATACTTCTTGGATGCTCAAAAAATGGAACTATGTGGACTCCACAGAATACTTATTTTGCATCCACTTGGTGCCAACCCTCTTGGTTCCTGAAACCAACCTTTCTGTTCTCCTCCTTACAAGCAAAATCCATCAAAAAGGGACAGCAACCAGTAGCCAGGAAGAGCTGTGTGAGACCTTACTTAAGTTACATTCGTATGTCCTAAACAAAGAAAGGAGACACTGAACTGAAATACCAGGGAACGTCACTATCCTGTAGGCAGGTATGTAGATGGTGCCACAAGCACTCCTGCAAGCAGCTTAGTTTTGGGGGGAAGAGACCAGATAGAGACATCAGATAATGTCTGCCCTTTTTTTGGAGTTGCAAAATTTGTGACTGGCATTATTAAAGTTCTTAGAGTAGAATGAAAAGAGCCAATCCTCTGTAGTGGGGGCAGTGAGGAAGGTGTGTGGGAAAACCTGAGCTGGGCCCTGAAGGAAGAGTTGGGGGAGACAAGCGGAAGAATAGAAGGGAGCGCACCCTAAGCAAAGAACAGCCGGGGAAGCCAGGGAATGGAGGACACAGCAAGAACAAAAAGGCACAGAAGCCTACATGGGCCTGCCCAGAGGAGCCTTTGGCCTGGAGAGTATGCAGATCTACACAGTCCTGAACACCAGAGTCCTAAAAGCTTGCTTCTCTAAGCCACAAGAGGTAGACAGGGGGAACCATGGTTTCATGGAATGCTAGGAGAACCTGACAGAAGATTCCCTAGAGAGAGGAAAACATTTTAAGGTTGGTGCACAGGCAGAGAGAATGATGCAAGAACATTCATTCCTTCCTTATCTCCATAAATCTCAAGTCAAAGCCATGCTCTGTTTTAAGCAAGGTGCAAGATAATGTGACAACAGGCTGGTCCCTTCTGCAGACCGGCTTCCTCAACAGCACAGAATTCATCCTACTGCCATCACTTTCCACATTCTTTGTATTTCCCTGAGATCAGCTATTCGATTTCCATTTTTTCTCTGCCGAAACAACTCTCTCTAGGCTATTATAGGGTAGCACAACTAGAGCAGATTTAAAGAAAACTTCAAACCACAGCAGGATCCAAGACACTACCTCAGTTACCCCTGAATTTCTTAAATTTTAGTAAAGTCTAACATGGGCTGGAAGGAGAAATTTTACTAATTACCCTTGGCATTTTATATTGATCAGAGAACCATTAACTAGATTAAGGTAAAAGAGTACAGTTAGTTGCTGATTACAGGTCTGTTTTGTCTAGTTTAAGCAACAAAGGCAAAGCAGAGTTTATGGGAAACCTTTCATAAAAGCCCTTTGAAATAATGCAGATCAAAACCGAAACCCTCCTGCACATACATCTTCTTATGCAAAGCCCGAGCTTACCCTATTTTAAAAAGTTTGTTACAAATGTGAGTATAGAAGAACAAAGCATTTCAATAATCATAACTGTATTTTTAAAAATCTATAACGGGAACCATGGCTTTACAGCCTTACTTCCAGAATCCCCAAGTTCAGTCAGTACAACCAAATGGAAGTTGACTTTGTCTTAATATGAAAATATTGGAAAATGTGAAGAACTTACTCTAGACAGGTTGGACTTAACAGGCAATAAAGCACTTTTTAAAAGCTGTTTTGGTTTGCTGCTGGAGCCTCTCAAGAGAGTTATGTGTTAAAGTCCCCCTTTGCCGGTCAGCATTCACCTCTTCATCTTTTGTAAAGGGCACAACCCCCCCAAGTAAGAGGCCTTGGTACAAGAGCATCTCATCCTGCAGAGTTTTCCTAGGTCTACAAAGATAGTAGTGGGCACAATGCTATTTTCAAGGGATAACTACTAAATGGCCAAGACCCAAGGGAAGGCAGTTGGCAGCAGTAGCCTGCCTGGGGCTGAGCTCCCTTTGGTCACAGTTGGCTTCCCACATGCTCCTTCTACTCACACTCAGAGAAGGAAAGGACAGAAGACACGAGCAGAGATAATGGGGACACAGGAGTACAAGGTCACCAAAGTGCAGGTGCAAAAATCAAAGCAATCCCCTTGCCTCTGCCAGCCCAGACTTGCCACCAAATCCTAGAGGAGGGGGTGTCTCTTAGGTCACAGTACTTTTTTCTTCATTTCTCTCCATTTAAAAACAAATCAGCAGGGAGGACAAAGTTCTCAAGAATGGAAAAATCAAATCTGAAAGAAGAGCAACACAATTCATTGGTAACATTAATCTCTTTCCAGAAGGAATATACCTCACTATGATTTTAGGGGGAAAAAGATCTTATTGGGGAACCTGGGTGGCTCAGTCAGTTAAACATCTGCCTTTGGCTCAGGTCATGATCCCAGGGCCCTGGGACTAAGTCCAGCATCAGACTCCCTGCTCAGTGGGAAGCTTGCTTCTCCCTCTCCCTCTGTCCCCTTCCCCCTGCTCATGCTCTCTCAAATAAATAAAATCTTAGAAGTCAGTTTGAAATCAAACATAGACCAGAAAGATGCACATTTGGTGGAAGGAATATGGGAATCCTGGCTTCTGCTTTGTGCCATTCTGTGTTGTTCTGAATTGTTTATATGTGCATTTTTTTTAATTAGAAAAAAATGAAAGGGAAATAAATTCTTAAAGTCAATTATCTGGAACAGTACTAGGCCAGGGCTAAATTGTGAAGCTGACCTACTAGGCTAGTTAAAAAAGGTGTTCGGAGCTGAGTGGCTTATTCTGGTGCTGGTATGAGCTATACATGTGAACTGTGTTCCCTTTAGAAAGTCAGGCCACCAACCACTTTTTACCGATGTCCTGACTGTCCCTACACAAAAGGGGAAAGGAAGGGTGAGTGCTGGCAGCAAAAGGCAGTGGAAGTATCCTGCTCCCACTCAGACAGGCTGCCTCTGGGGAGAGTATTGCTCAGCTCCTGCATTGTGGGGCGGAAGGAAGCCTGTTTTCTGACAGGCCTGGGATGGCCACACTCAGGAAACCTAGTCCACAGTGCTTAGTAGGGCTGATCTGGGGAGTTGCAGGCCTTTATGTTTCTGGACTCATTTGTATTCAGGGAGTGTAGTCTAATGCTTTGCTACCTAATGCATGGTTCCCCAGCATTTGGCATCACCTAGAAACTCCTAGAAATGTAGAAACATAGCTTCCACCCAATAGGTAAGGATTCAGATTTTGCTTCTTCATCACAATTCCCAAGGTGGTTAAAATCTGCGAAGTGCTGATTCAGTGCAAAAAGCACAGGACAGGTGTATACAGATTTGCCATCGGGTCTTAATTTTGCCACAAATTTGCAGTATGAACTTTGGGGGGAAAATCATGTTTCTGGGCCTGACTTTCCTCATCTGTCGAGGGAGGGAGCTGATGTAGAACATAAGAGGGAGGAAGCTGATGTAAAACATATCTAGCTCTCATGTTGCAGACATGTATATAATGGATGTCTCTGCTCTGTGGTCTGCAAAGGGACGGGCAATGGTGGCAGCATCCCACAATCAGCTGCTGCCTCCATGTCAAACGCAAGTGCACTGCTGGGCCTATCTGAGGCTGCATATGCCTCCCACATGCCTGGTGCTCCTTTCCTTACCTTCTGGTCCAAACGCTGGTAATCACTGGCCTTTGGGCGCCGAGTGACTTTAGATCTTTTTCCTTCCAGGACAAAAGCAATAATCTGGGGAAAGGAAAAAGAAATTAACAAGTGACTCTACAATGGCATATTTCAGTCTCTAAAATCAGAGGTCACCACCTGGTAGTACATTTGTTAATGACCCTGACAGTAAAAGAGCAGTACAACCACAAAGAGGCCTCTTTAAATGATAAGTTTTCAGGAGGACAGGGCCTCCAGTTACATCAGAATCTATTACACTGCCAAACAGGAAATGACAGATGAAGGAAGACTGTTCTGGGCTTTAGCTTGTGGGAGTCTGTATGATTTACTCAAAAGCACAAAGATCTGCGAACTCTGCCCCAGACAGCTCTAGGATAAGACATTCCTTTTTTCCCCACAAGCAATAATTATTTCTTATCTGCAAATGTACTTTTTCTCCTTGTTTCATTTTAACCTTACCATTTTCACATCTGAGGTTTCTGTGTGATGAGCATTTGGATGTAGCCTAAGAAACACACTATACTTATTAAACGTTTTTCCTCATTCCTCACAGCCAACAGGCAAACTGATATCATGAACTGAACTCTCCAATTTCCTCATTCCTCACAGCCAACAGGCAAACTGACATCATGAACATGAACTGAACTGAACTCTCCAATTTCAACCAGGCTGTAGAAACTACTGAGTTCTTAGGGCTCAATGAGAAATGCCGTCATTTCGTCATCAGAGTGGTGGCTAAGCAACAGATATGACTCCACACCAAACCCTGCTATCACAGTAGAAGACGAGTGTAACCATGCAATTTCCGGCCATTCTTCTAATCAGAAACTCAACTGATTGTAGAAGATAGTCCCGGGCTCTCTGCTGTGGCTGTCAAAGACTAGGTAACCACTCTTTCTGCCACTGCAGATGGAAGATAAAAGCTCGGGAAAGGAAACCAAAAACGATGCACCATCTTCAGAGTGGAAACAGGAAAGTAAGTACTCTACTTACAGATTGTCAGGTACTCAGGTTCTCTGAGGCAGTAAACGATCTAAGTTTACGATTACGGGAGGAGATCCCCAATTAAGGTCAGATCATAAGGTCCTCACTTGGCAGCTAGGACAGCAGCAGAGGGTACTCAAAGGAATCTGATATGAAGGAAGATGATCTATAAAATGAGAGTAAAAGCCCTAGCAGAATCTGAGGAAAAACTGCAGTTTGTCTTAAAAACCCCAGTGCTCACAGGCTGATGAGTGATAGATATTGGCGCGCACACCAAGAATTCAGGATGGAGGAAATCCCATTCCTCTTCTTAAGGCAATTCTTGACTTACCTTCCGTTTGTTGTGATAGGCAATGTAGAGCACAGCAACAAGAATGGCTGCAGTCACCAGATAGGCAAAGAAGTGGCTGCTCTCTGCACTAGCACTTCCAAGACTGTCCTTAAAAAGGTCATCATTCTCCCTACTCATGGAATCTAAAAGTGTCCCTTCATGGTTCTCACTGGAGGCAAGGCCAGGCGTTTCTTTCTCTCCTTCGGGTGGTGAATTCTCAGATTCCGTATCCCCTTCCTCAGCCTTCTTGGCCTCCACATCTGTAAGCTCTGAAGACTTGCCATCTTTCTCCTGCTGTGGAGAAGTGGAGTCAGAGTCTAGTAATTCTCTCTCCCCAGATTCACTTCTAAAAGCATGCAGAGAGGTATCTTTGCCAGCTGGTATGTTTAGGTCAAGCTTGGTAGGCTCCTTGTTAGCAGAGGATGGGTTAGAGACCAGCTTATCAGGGCTGTCTCCTTTGGACTGTGGCTCAGGCTTCTCCCTGTCAGGGCTGTCTCCTTTGGACTGTGGCTCAAGCTTCTCCTCTTTAGGACCACCTCCTGTGGACTGTGTCTGGGGCTTCTTGTTAGGGTCCTCTCC